AGGCGCCGCAGGCCCTGGGAGCCACCTCTGGACAAGGGCGTTGTGCCCTGGCTGGGTCACGCCATGCCTTTCAGGAAGAATATGTTTGAATTCTTAAAGGGAATGCGGGCCAAGCACGGGGATGTGTTCACGGTACAGCTAGGGGGTCAGTTCTTCACCTTTGTCATGGACCCCCTCTCCTTTGGCCCCATCCTCAAGAACACGCAGAAAGTGCTAGACTTTGTAACGTACGCACGAGAACTGGTGTTCAAGGTGTTTGGGTACCAGTCAGAAGATGAGGACCATGGGATGATCCACTCGGCTAGTGCCAAGCATCTGATGGGGCAAGGCTTGGAGCACCTCAACCAGGCCATGCTGGACAGCCTTTCCTTGGTGATGCTAGGCCCCAAAGGCCCGAGTCTGGGTGCCAGTTCCTGGTGTGAAGACGGCCTCTTTCACTTCTGCTACCGAGTCTTGTTTAAGGCCGGCTTCCTGAGCTTGTTTGGCTATACCAAGGACAAGGAGCAGGATCTGGATGAGGCTGACACGCTGTTCACGAAGTTCCGCCGATTTGACCTTCTTTTCCCCAGGTTTGTCTACTCCCTGCTGGGGCCCCGGGAGTGGGTAGAAGTCAGCCGGCTGCAGCGGCTCTTCCACCAGAGACTTTCTGTGGAGCAAAACCTGGATAAAGACGGCATAAGTAACTGGCTAGGGCACATGCTTCAGTTTCTGAGGGAGCGAGGAACAGCTTCATCCATGCAGGACAAATTTAACTTTATGATGCTCTGGGCCTCCCAAGGAAACACTGGGCCCACGTGTTTCTGGGCCCTCTTATTCCTGCTGAAGCACCAGGATGCCATGAAGGCTGTGCGCGAGGAAGCCACCCGGGTCATGGGAGAGGCCAGGTTGGAAGCAGAGAAGTCCTTCACTTTCACTCCCAGTGCCCTGAAATGCACTCCAGTGTTGGACAGTGTGATGGAGGAGACTCTGCGTCTCTGTGCCACGCCCACCCTCCTCAGGGTGGTGCTGGAGGATTACGTCCTAAAAATGGCCAGTGGGCAGGAGTACCAGATCCGCCGTGGAGATAAGGTGGCTCTCTTCCCCTACCTGTCAGTACACATGGACCCCGACATCCACCCCGAGCCCACAGTCTTCAAGTTTGATCGGTTCCTCAACCCCAACGGCACCCGGAAAGTGGACTTCTACAAGTCAGGCAAGAAGATCCCCCACTACAGCATGCCCTGGGGCTCGGGCGTCTCCATGTGCCCCGGCAGGTACTTTGCCCTCAGTGAGATGAAGACCTTTATCCTCCTTATGGTCATGTACTTTGACTTTGAGCTGGTGGACCCTGACATGCCCGTGCCCCCTATTGACCCAAGGCGCTGGGGCTTCGGCACCTCCCAGCCCAGCCATGAGGTACGTTTCCGCTACCGCCTGAAGCCCATGCAGCGAGCTCAGATCTGAGCACACCCTGCAGCCCAGAGCAGCACTCCCATCCTCTGGCTCTGGGGCACCCTTACCTCTCTCCCTGCCATCCCTGCTGTCTTGCCTCCTAGACATCTCAGAGATCTGTCACGCTCCCTCTAAGATGCCATCCCCCAGGGGTCTCTGCCTGACCCTCCTCTCAGGAGGAACACCTGTGGTCAGTTCAATTTACAGCTGTTGCCTACCCAGGCTTGACTCACCCTGGAGGACAGAACCAGCTCCCATGAGTCAAACAGCATCTTGCAAATGCTTCCTCAGTCCATCCTATCTGCCTCACTCGATGCCCTTACCCCAAATCCTATCCGTTCAGGCTCCAGAGATGCTACTCAATGGAATGTGTGCAATTGCTAATTTCTTAATAGATACATACTAAAAGCAAAAGATTACGCTGAAGCTTGTTTTGTGGTGTGTTTCCCTTAGCCCAGAACTTCCAGAGAACTTGCACTTCCTATCACCAAACTCTTTAGTGCTTTTGAAAATGGTCTAGCCACAGGCTACGGGCTTGCAAGCCAAGCCTGGAGAATGGCCACATTTGATACAGGAGCCTCTCGAGGTGCCTCCTCTATGCCCGTGTCTGCTCTGCATCTTCTCCCCGCGGTTCGCAAGGAACCACTGTATCGGTTTTCTCCATCGGCATGCCTCCATCTCCCTGTGGGATCACGCAGCTCCTCAGATAGGCTCAGTCCCTGCACATCTCAAGTCCCAAGCTCAGCTGAACTACCCCCCCACCCACCTCTCTGCTCGGGACTGCTCTTCATCCATGACCCGAGCATACTCCAGATACCTCACCGCCTCCCTCACAGACAATCAGGTCCAGTTCTGTCCACTCAAACCCAGCAACACCTCTTTCTGCCTTCCTCTGCTGCCGTCTCCGCATGCCAGACCCAACACCCTCACCCTTTGTTCACACAGCGTCCAAGGTTCTTTTCAAAAAGGAGAGCTTTCTGGAAAGCTGCCCTGGCACCAGCAGCTGAGAGCTTCTGGTTCCGACTCTGGAGACTCAGGCCCTGAGCATGCCCACTCCGTTCACAGGTCAGGCTCCTGTTCCATGCCCCTCTGGATATGTGGAAAGGGGGACACAGCAATCGTGTCCTGGCAAGGTCACAGAGGTTCCCCCTTCTCTGCCCACTGAATTGGTCCATGGCATCTCCTCCCTTGTGTTCCTAGCCTTGTAGAGATGGACAGGCTCTCCTAATGCTCATGGCCAGGTAGGGGCTCTATTAGACCTCAGACTGACCTCACTGGAGAGAGGTGGTTCTTGGTGTAGGGTCACACAACTAGTTGCCCCCAGCTTGGGCTTCTGTCTAGTATCAAAGCAGTGCTCAGGGCAGAGCAGGCAGGCTGGGAGGACACAGAGCAGGATCAGGGGAGGCCCTCGCCCCGGGCCCTGAGGCGGTGAGGTTATCTGTGCTGCCTGGACCCCCTTCTCCAGGATCTTCACACAGTACACTTGTCTGCAGCCTGTCCTTGCCCAGTCAGACCCTGCTACCAGCCAGCCACAGCTCTGGCACCATCCCTTGCTCATCCTCCCAACCCGGGAAGCGTGTCTAGCTGTGAGGTCACCTGTTTCATGTACCAAGATACTGAGGTCATGGAAGGGCAGGAAACCATTGAGTACAAAGTAAATTTGCCAAGGCTGGAAATCAAGTTTCTATCATGTCTCACACTCTCAGAGGATTGGTGGGCAGGTGTAAACGGACATGTTAAAGTATTCTGGCGGGTTCTTGGCTCTGGTGGTGCTGGGACCTGTCCATGAGGATGGATGGAGACAGCCCTGGCAGAGGGTACAGCTGGTCACACTGGCCCAGCCCAGCAGTCCTGGGTCCTTTTCTTCACATCTGCATCTCTCAGCTCCTTCTTTCTCAGAATCTTTGAGGAGAGAGAGCAGCAAATGGATTCTCTCCCTGAAGATAGCTCACAATAAAGTCAGACCAGAGGTTCCTTTTCAGCTGGGGCTGATGGCACACACCAGGGACTCACCATTCAGGAGTCTGAGGCAGGAGGATTCATGTTCAAGGGTGGCCTAGGCTTCACAGTAAGAGCTTGTCACCCCAAAAATACATAAAGTCAAAACAATATAAAGTAAAAAAACTCTCCTGCAATGGTTTTTGGGTACCTGGAAAGGAAAAAGACTGAATCCATATCACTGCTGTGAACACTCCAGTCTCAAAGCACAGAGCTGAGGCACCAGCAGCCTAGCACACAGGCCTGGAAGTAGGGGTGGAGAGGAGAGGCTCCACCTAGGCCTGGCCCATGAGGACTGGCGAGCTGCTATAACAGGGTCCCTATAATGATGAACAGTAGTATGTGTCTACCAACAGTTTTCCCTCAGAGTGCTGCTGACTATGCGGCTGTGTCTTCCAAGAGGCACATACCCACACGTACATAGACATATAGGAACAGTCAGAAAGCCAGTGGGCACATGCCAGATGCACACGCTAAGCTGATCCCATACCCACAGAGGTAAGTATTCACGCAACCCACACAACATACTGTCAGAGACAGACACATGTGCATGCATGTCCCAGACAAAAACACATACATCACCACGGCTGGTGACATGGGCCCCTGGACTCCCTCACCCGTCGTACCACGACTCATCCCATCTGTGCACCGTGGGCACAAAGTGAGAGACATTGGTCCTGTCTCCATAGCTTGAGCCATATCTCATCCAGCTGCCTGGTGTGTGTGGTTTCAGGAGTTCAAATACCATCCCACCCGTGTTCTGAGACAAATCACCAACTGCAGATAAAGGACTGAGAGAACCTGGGGTCCCTCCTGACACTGAGGATCTGGGGCCTTGGGCAAAGAAACCTGAAGGCACTGGAGCTGGAGCCAAGCATTCAATATGTAGAAGTCAGATCCAAACCATCACAGTCTAAGACTGCTCAGGTCAACCTCCACTCAGAGCGTGGGGCGGGGTGACCTTCCCCAGAGCACGTGGGATTAGCTTGTGAGATGAGGGCACGCCTGGCTAGAAGGAAGCTGTGTTAAAGAAAGGAACAGGGCAGAACAGAGAGGTCAGGATGTGCAGAGAGCAGCAGGGAGTGGTAGGTGCTGAGGAGGTGGGGGTTGGGGGAGACATCTGGATGCTGCTGACCATGGGCTGAAGAGGAGCTCAGTCAGGAAAGCACCAGGACAAAAACCAGGACGTGAGTCTGACCCCAGAACCTGCATTAAAAAGCCAAGCGTGGCGCACATACAGGTATAATCTCATTGAACAGGGAGACAGAATGGTCGGCCTTGCCTGGTTGGTGAGTTCAAAGCCAGAAAAACCTGTCTCAAAAAACAAAGGTGGATGGCACCTGGGAAATGACACATAAGGTTGTCCTCTGATTTCCACACGCTGGCACATACATACTCATGGGCACCTGCACTCACATGTACATGCGTGTGCACACACACGTGCATGGACATGTGCACACACACACATACACATGCACACATACGCACATTATTTTGATTACATTTCCATGAAGGGCAAGAATGCAGAATGTTTTTCCTGAATTATCGGCTCTTCTTTTGAGAGACATCTGTTCAGATCAATCACCCACTTTTTTTTATTGAATTATTTGACTTTAACTTTTTTGTTCCCTGTACAGTTTGAATATTGGGCCCCATTATGTGAAAGCCAGTGGAATTGTCTGTAAACTGTCTCTTCATCCTGCCCCTGTCCCTGTACCATGGAGACTAATTTCATGTGATCTGAGTATTCCCTGGCTATGAGTGGGTGCTCTGCTCAGAAAGACCTTGCTTCTGATGATGTCTTTAGTTGCCCTGTGTTTTTTCTCTGATGGTTTCGAAGCTTCAGGTCATATGTTGGAGTCCTTGATCCAATTTTAGCTGATCTGTGTATCAGATGAGAGATAGGACACAGGTGGATACCCAGTTTAAGCAGGATGTGTTAAGGGGCTGCCACTCACCAGCACGTGTTTTGTAAAGTCTAAAGCTTTTAATTTGACTGACAGATACCAAGACCAGAGCTGGGATGGTCCCCACCTTCCTCCTGTGGGATATGCACCTCTGGGCTATTCTCTAGCTAGAGTGCCTCCAGTGCCTTCAGACCACACACAGGGCAGGAAGGTATGCTCCCATCTGAGCTACAGAGAAAGGGGCCCTGGAGGATGGAGAACCTGTGGCTGCTCCCAGAAATGCCCAGTGTGTACTCACACTCCACAGAAGCTTTCTAAACACCTGCCACACACAAGTGTCTGTTGTAGAGTCTGAGGACAGCAGTGAGCCATTCACCAAGAGCTTGACTCTGCGGCTCACCTGTGTGGGTGGGCTTGAGGCCGTCAACAGGGAACACAACAGGAGAAACCCCTGTGCAGAGTGAATGCAGTAGTACATGCAGAAGTGTGTGAGAATCCCCTGTGTAGATAGGACATTAAGCAGGGCAGGGTCAGGGCCCCCTCCCTCACCAACAAGGTGAGATCTGAGCCACAACTCCAAGAAGTGAAGGAATGAGCCAAACAAACTCTTCCCAAAGAGAAAGGCTGGGAGGGAAAATGTCCGGGAAGATATAGCATTGCTGAGCCCGCTGCCCCTACTGGAATGAACCTGGAATTCTCCAGAAATGAATGGAAGCCAGTGTGCCCTGAACCCAGAGACTAGGAGGGAGGACGGTGGAGATGAAGTCACAGACTGATCATATGGCCCTTGAAGGTGTGAAGGCTGAGAGTGGGCATGGCCTCATTGGCTACTGGAAGCCAGGAAAAGCCATAGAAGCACCGGGATGGAATCGAGATGGGTGGATAGATGCAGTGATTCAGCAGAGAATACGGGGTTCAGGATACGGACGGAGGAAAATGAAGTAGTGAGAAAGGACTGCTGGTGGTTGGGAACCACAGGGCAAGCAGCATGGCCATGTCAGCCCTCAGAGAGAGCAGTGCCAGTCCCGGACCATGGCATGGTCACTCGGGCCTAATCATTCCCCATCTCCCCCTTGTTGAGGGAGTCCTCAGCCTGCCTCTCCCCAAGGTCATTCATGCTGACCACATCTTCCTGGGCAGTAACCCCGCTGCTCTCAGAATGGCCAGATGGAGGGGCGTGGGCGGTGCCAGGTGCCTGGTGCCATCTCACCATCACAGACAGGAACGCCTTCAGGTACTGGCGGAAGCGGCGACTGGAGAAGGCATAGAGGATGGGAGTGAAGCAGCAGTGGAAGAAGGCCAAGCTCTCTGTCACCTGCAACATATAGTCCAGACGGTGGCTGACCTCACAGTTCCCAAAGACATGCAGGTCCAGTAGCGAGTGCAGAAACACCGTGAGGTTATACGGGAACCACAGCAGGAAGAAGACTATCACCAATGCTGCAGCCATCCTCAGAGCCCAGCCCTTGCCCGGTGGCCTCAGCCGGACCAGAACGCAACCGATACGGGAGTAAAAGAAGATCATGGCCAAGAGTGGGAAGAGAAATCCCAGAAGGTTCTGCTGGAAGCGCAGGTACAGCTTCCAAATGGTCGCGTATCCGCCAAAATCTGCGTAGCAGTGCCACACACCATCTGAGGTCTGATGGACCTTCACAAAGACCATTTCTGGGACAGAGACGGCCAGGGCCGTGATCCACACCATGGCAATGAGAAGCAGGTTCCTGAACCGGGTCTTGGGTCTGTGGTGAGGCTGAGCATGGACAATCTCCAGGTATTTGTCCAGGCTCATACAGGTGATAAAGAAGATGCCACAGTAAAAGTTAATAGAGTAGAGTGTGCTCACCACCTTGCACAAGAAACTGCCGAAAACCCAGTGCCAGGCCACAGAGACGGCCCAGAAGGGCATGGTCACTACAAACAAGAGATTGGAGATGGCCAGGTTCAGCAGGTAAAGCTCAATCACCCGTCTTCGGGGCACCGAGTGGAGCAACACCACCAGGAGAAGGAGGTTGCCAGCCAAGCCCAGCACGAAGATCAGGCTGTAAATGATTGGCAGAAAGACTCTTGCAAAGGACAAGACCTCATCCTTCCTGCAAACCAAGATGGTCACATCGTCTAAGTAGTCGTAGTCATAGACAGAGCTGCTGTTCTCAGAACCGATGGTGGAGAGAGGCAGCGGGGAAGCGATGGTGGACATGTCTCGAGTTCTGCAGAAAACAAAAGCCGCAGTGAGGGCCTGAAGAGATGGCTCAGTGGGCAAAGTGCTTGCCAAGCGAGTATCGTCAGCATCCACACAGAATCAGAGGCAGGGGTCACATCTAGCATCCTGGAACTCCTACACAGTGGAGGCAGAGACAGAAGCCTCAGCAGCTCACAGGCCAGCTCTGGGCTAACAAGAAACCAAGACACGAGCCTGTCTTCTGACACCCACACACATGTTCCCATGCTCACATACATGAAGATTTAAACACAGAGAGACACAGAGACTAAAGAAAGAAACCTAAACCATGAAAGACTGTATCCCCTCAAAACCCTGAACCAAAATAACCCATCCTTCCTTAAGTCAATACCTTTCTTGACACTGTGACTAAATCCCTGAACAGCAGCCTGAGGTGATACCCCTCAGCACACACAGTAAAGTTGAGGTGCAGTACAGGTAGACTCCACTCTCACTAGGCAGGTGAAGGGGACCACTGTCTGACCAGGAATGTCACCTCTCCAGAGATTTTTAACATATGGGCTCGGGATTACCAGCCTGTACACATGGAGTGCCCAGGATCTGGTCACTGTCACCTACTGGGTTTCAGTGGCCTGTGGGGTGGTATGATTGGGATGGGAGCTTCTAGTACATGTGCCCAGAGTACATGTGCCCGGGAGTGTAGCTAATGCCCAAGCTGAAGCTATTTCCAGAATGTGTCTCTGCTAGGAGGGCAGACGCTACTGAGTTCAGAATTAGAATAGGGCCATCAGCTCAGTCCAGGGCCTTCAAGCTTGGCCCCAAGAAACCACCTGTCTCCTCTCGATCAGAGACAAAAAGTGTGGAGACAGAGGAAGGCAGAAACAGCAAGTTTATGGCAAGCCTGGCCTATACAGCCAGTTCCAGACCACCCAGGGCTACATTTGGTTTAAAAACAAAACAGACTTTAAAAAAAAAAAATGTTAGCTGTCTCTGTCAAATGACAACTGTGTCCCTGCTCCCCTCCCCACTGTGACCAAGCAAGGCAGTGCAAGAGATTCCTCTCTCTCGTATTCTTACTGAAGCCATTTGAGGCTTGACTAGAATTTGATCTCCTTAGTGGAAAATCCTGGGAAAATTACTCTATTCCAGAAGTCCGAGATCAAGATGCCCCAGGTAGTTTATTTAGCTTGTTAAATTGTTTGATTGTCCAGAAGCCCCTCACTCCAGATAACTTACCTTCTGTTAAACTGCTTACTTGCACGCCTCTCCCCGCTCCCACAGCTGCCAAGCGTGTTGAGGCTTTGTCTTTTACTGTCTATCGTAATGCTAAGTGCAGAGAGGAATGGAGTCCCAAGACCTGGAGTCTACACGTAGCCCTGGGACCCTGCCCCCAAGTTAATTCTGATTGGTGAATAAAGATGCCAACAGTCAGTAGCTGGGCAGAACAGACATAGGTGGGGTTGAGGTTTCATGGGCTTAGAGAGAAAGGACCAAGAAGAGGGAGAAGGAGAGCTGCCCTGGAAAAAGAAGAATGTGCAGGAGGGAGAAAGAGAGCCACCATGGGCTAAGGACCAAGAAAATGTGGCCCAGAGGGCTGCCCAGTTGGGTTAAGTACAGCCCAGATGGAACATAGTAAATACTAAGAGATAACTTGGGGTTATCGAAAGTAGATTCTAACAGCATGTAGGGGAGGCAGCTGCCCAGCTATTGTGCTGCCTAAGGCATATTAAAAATACAAAGGCTGTGTGTGTCCTTCATCCAGGAACATAAATGGTCTAAGGCAGGAAGAAGCCCCAGACCAGGATAATATATATTTTTTACTACAAAGTAAAATGTCAGGATGTGGGTTTTGCTTTCAAATACTCCTTGCTTTGAACATCCAGTGCTACACTTGAGTCCCAAATGCCTTTGTCTAGTCCCAGCCAGCTGGAACAAAAACTTTCAATTGGCTATAAACAGTCTGAGTGATCACCTCTGGAGGGCTCCCCACAACCTCATCATAGACCAAGCCCCCAACCACGTAAGTCCTCAGTAGGTTTGTGCCTTTGTGCCCTTCTCCCCCATACCGTGGCATCTGGCACGCCATCTCCCAACCAATCAACGCAAGAGGATGTCCATGGGCTCCCTGACCTGTGGCTGCCCCGAGTTTATTGGTTTCCAGGGCTCCTCATTACAGCCTAAGTCTTCAGAGCTGCAGCCTGGATTCCTTCTGTACATGCCTTGCAAAGTGGGTCTCATCTTTTGAGCAGAGCCCCAAACTGAACCGTATTTAAAGCTAGAAGGAGTGTGGACTTCTCACCTTTGATGTCTGTAGGGTAGCTGTCAGTAGCTGCGCTTGGTCATATCTGGACTTACCTGATGCTCAAAGCATCTGGTCTCTGTCGTCAGCTAGAGAGCTGGGCTTAGCTGCAAATTGGTTTGTTGTTTTTTTGTGTGGGTTTTTTTCCTCTGCTCCCTTTCCAGTTCTCCTGCTGGTTTGCTTTTTCCTCTCAGAATTCTTTCTCCTTGTTGCCCTGAATCCTCTCTTGCAGAGTTGAGGGAAGGGTGTTTCCCTTCCCCCCCGCCCCCGCCAACTATGATGAGAATCTGTCTTCAAGGTTTTAAAACTATAATATGCAGGTGCTCCCTGGCACCTCTTCCTCTGCTGACTCTAAGCTCACCCATCCATCAGCCTCTCTCACACCTTCTGCAGTTGCTCATCTCTCAACTCCTGTGAGGCCTGCATCTTAGAGTGCGCATGTGCATACATCTTGTGGGTGGTTCTATTCTGAAGTTATTTTGAGAATCTGCGTGTTGCTTGCCATGGTCGTGGGGCATGTTTCCTGGGCCTCTTGATTAAACTCAGAGTACACAGTTGCTACGTTCATTTCCATCCCTCCAACAGTACACAAGCCTCTCCTTCCTGTGTGTCACAGCCAAAAGGGTTTTTTGCTGTTGTTTTGGTTGTTTGGAAACCAAACCTCAGCTATGTATCCCTGGATGGCCTGGAACTGGTTGTTTAGACCAGACTTGCTTTGAACTGGCTCTGGCTCCCTGCCTTCTGTCTTTTTGATATTAGTCATTCGTACCTGAGTGGAGTGAGGCCACACAGTGGTTGGATTTGCCCTTCCCTGATGGTTGCTAATGTTAACTTTTGGGGGATACAGTGGGGTGTACTATTGACCACTGTGTCTTCTTTTGAGAAATGTCTTTACCCTCTCTTGTCTTTGGCTTGCTTTGCTCTGTTTGCTTTGATTTGTTTTGACTTTGAACTTGCTACACGTAGCAGAGGGTGACCTGATCTCCTCCTGTATCCCCCAAGCACTGAGATTGCAGGCATGTGCTATTATGTCCAGCTAATCATTTGCTCATTTTAAAACAAGATGGGTTGGGGAAGCAGGTAACGGCTTAAGGTCCTTATATACACTCCTGTATTAACCCCTCATCAGATCAGTAGTTTGTAAATAATTTCTGATACCCTGAAGGATCCCTGTGGGATTCTGACGTGTCTCTCCTCTACAACGTGTGATATAATCCCATCCCCATCCCCTCTCTAATTTTGGCCTGTGCATTTGATGTCTTATCTAGAAAGCCTCCACACATACCTATGTAGACCTATAGTATCCTATACCTATAGTATCCTATACCTATAGT